CAAGTAACTATCTAAAAAGGGACTATATTAGTGTAGACATATAGATTTCAAATAAGTTTGTCGGATAAATTGGCGAATGTCAATGGTCGAACGGCGATTGCACGACCGAAAGTAGCCATGGGTTTCGCTGATTTGTACTSATTCGAACTGATTTGTACTATAAGATAGCCTATTGTTAACATTGGCTCCATTTAATCTCCATTTCTATGAAAGGTGAATCCAATAAGTGCRATTAACAGGTGAAATCATAGTCTCTTTCGGTCGTGAAAAATCTCCCTTCGCCGACATTCGCCGTTCTCTCCGGCCTGGTTTTTTGAAATAGCGTTCAGTAGTAATTGTTTTTAAATCTCCATTTTGTTTTAGGGAATTGGTCTCTTACCATTCTTTGCAAACTTTCGTCAGCTGGCTGAATGTTCAACAGTCTTTGTGAATCAAAGGTGAAATCTGTAGCTTACTATATAGCTATAAATGAACGCACCCCTAAATAAAGTGGAATACGACTAGATGATGATGATGATGTTTAGGACATTTTTTGAAAAGGCATGAGTATAGCCCATTGATAAATAGAAAAGCCCTGGRCCCCACGGTATAAACAGTCGTTTGTTGATAGCTATAAAATGTATTCAAAGGTATTTGTCATTGCAAGCCTCCCATTCGTTTCAAGTGAACGAAAAGCCATCTAAAAAGACCCTTTMCGAGACTTAGCCAAATAGCGTTACCGTAAAAGATGTCAATACGTCATTGTTCTTTCATTTTGACTTTATAGTCTAGACTACCTATTGAGACCCTGTATAAAACATGGAGAACATGTTCAATACATCGGAAGCTCAGTTGCACGACCCTATTCAAGACACGAAGGCCRAAAACCATACTAACACTATTTAGCGGAACGTCCGGGATCTAACTATGATGTTTTCTTCAGGTGGTATTTCTCAGTTATTGGAGAGCCTCATTCATCTCGGAGCTTCCTAATAAATGCTTGGTCGATGGTTATATCGTTTTTCCTTTGYCGTATAGCGGTCATTCCATATTACTACTATAAATGCTTTATTGTATGGGACACACCTGGAAGRCGACTACTGGGAGTCATACCTCAGACTTTATGGATCTTCACCAGTACTGTACTGGACGTTCTTAACGTATTTTGGATGACCAAAATGATACGAGGTGGTATTAAAATTCTAAAGGCACAAAGCAARAAACAGTAGAAACAGGAATTACATGATATTTTAACAAATCAATTTTATAGCAGAATTATATAAACATAGTCTTTCGCATGGAAGGCCTTATTTGAACGAAATTTGTTATCTGTTTTAAATCAAGTTATCGTACTTGACKTACTGATATTCAGTGTTTCACCAGTGTAATATAGGTTGAGAAATGTTTCTATTGTGAATACAGAATCGAATGTAGATTGTACCATTTTAGGTATTATTTCCGATTTTTGATATAGTCTATTCTATTATGATTTTCTTTATTTACAGTAGATTCCGTCGAAAGAGATATATTGGAGAACTAATGAAATAATTACTATTTTCGGTAATATTTGTCCTTATATCGGGTGTATCACTTGTATCATGGGTAATTCCATATAATCTCCTTTCTTCACTAAATAAGACCCAAAATAAATCCAACTCTATATTTAAGCGACGTTTACACGAGCAATTTTTCCTAGACAAGGAAAAATTGCTGGTGTAAATGGAGTAAAATGGACAATTTTTCCTTGTTAAGGAAAAGCCAACATGTCCGCTTTTCCTTGACAAGGAAAAATTGTCAAGGACGAAATTTGCTCGTGTAAATGGACAACAAGGGAAATGTGGCAAGGAAAAATTGTCAAGGACGAAATTTGCTCGTGTAAATGGACAACAAGGAAAATGTGGCAAGGAATATTTATGAGATCGGCTCCCAGTCTATTCGCGCGATCACTTCACAATAGGTACGCCAATTTGTTTGTTGACGTCAAGATAGTGCACTGAGGCACAACCAAAACTTGTCAATGAAAAAAATTGTTCTTCGTTTACACTAGCAAAGAAACATTGTCAAGGAAGAATTGTCGAGGAAAACGTATTGACAATTCACACGGGCAATTTTTCCTTGTCAAGAAACTTGTCAAAATTGCTCGTGTAAACGGCGCTTTAGAGTAATTCACATATAATTCATACATATGATTCAGTTTGATGGTAAAAAGGACGAAATTTGAAGTATCGGCTACCCTTTATAATTTTATAGCCTCCTTTGCAGACGTTATTAGTAACGGTCATAACTTAGTGGAGAGGGAATTTATGACCGATACTAATAACGTCTGCAAAGGAGGCTACCCTTTATATTGATATATTTATATATGTTAGCTACCAGAATTTCAAATGCTTGTATCCAAAATGATGAATTAAAATTTTAAGAAGAAAAAACAAATTGTGAAAAAATATTGACTTCGTTCGACCAAGATGTAAACGATGGCACCAATTATTAATAGTCGAAATATCAAGTCTCAAGAGTGTTTCTGATTGCATTTCCCTGCACTTTTGACTACTGGATAAAATATGTGCCCGTTTCCTTCCATCTATCATCTACCGCCATTATGCTATCATTGATGTTGAAGACAAGTTATTGCCAAATGCTTTGTGAGACTACCGTTTGGAACCTTTCAAACAACAATTAACTATGAAACAACCTAAACAAAATTAGAAGAATCTTCATGATTCTCTCTGAGGTAACACTCGAAAAAATAAAACAAAAAAGAAGAAGAAATGGTTGCACTTTCCCCCACCCCCAAAATAACTGGTGGATGGATCACAGAAAAGAACTTGATCGATATACAGAACTGAACGATTCATCATTCCTCATGAAGAAAGTGTATTTCGAAAGAGGGGAATGTGCTTCAAAAACGTGAAAAGAGTTAGCATTGCTAACAGACCTTTTCTGGTGGTCACATTCACTGGTTGGTGGAGAGCTCACTAAACATGAAGTTATATAACGGCTTGCGTACATGTAGACATACGGCCCGACCCTCTACTATAGGAAATCCGCAGCACGTCTGCAACTGTATTAAGTTCAATCCGATGAAGATGCTTTTGCATAGAGGGCCTAGTGACTTTTTTACAAGACGCAGGGGGTGACCTCGCAATCGAAGGACAAACTACAAACCATTCCCCATTCTTACAAGTAACAGTGAATTTTTAAGAGGTATGAAACCTAATAGGAATGGAGATCCTCCATTATCATGGTGACGGGACCTTGTGTAAGACGGTAAGTAATTCTGATTCATGATTCTGATGAATTCTGGCAAACTTAATCCAGGGATTTCTTAAAATGGATTCGAATAATATTGGGTAAAGGTAATTGACATTTGAGGCAAAATACAGCTTGCTGATTAGAGGTAAAAACAGTGAAGATTCATCGCCATTTGTCTCGATATACATTTCCTTTCCATTAAGGCTGTTGGTTTTCCTTTCGAATTCCGTGCCTTGCATTTGAATGGAAGAGGTACTGTAATTCAATTGATGTTGGTCGGGGCTTCTCACGGTATTAGAATCCATTCCTCAATTTAAAGGCAAATGCTTTATTATCACTTTTATTTGTACTTACTGGATCTAGTTTTAAAAAATACTAAAACTGAATGTTGAAGCTCAATATTATGTTTTACTTTTTACCAAACTACTAAGAATGTAGAATAAAAAACTAAGCTAGAGACAACTAGATATTTGTTTTACTAAGAATATGTCTATTTAGTAAAGTTTGCATAGTCGCTGAAAGAATCAAGGTAATCTTGAATTATTTTGTAACAGCAGACGTACTGGTCCTATCAAAGAAACAGAAGGAAAATAATTATTGATAGCTGTTCCTAGAAATATCATGTAGCTTATTGGTCAATCCAAGTGTAGGGCAAGAGAGCCATGAGGTTAGTTACCAAGTCTGTTCGTTTCAAAATCTTTATCTGTTGGCATTGAAATGTCACTAGCCTTCGATTGCTACCTCATTTTAAATGGGAGTTACATTGAGTAGAGAGTCGGATAGTGCAGTGCATGCTCTACTTCATAAGCTGAACGAGCTAGTCTCTCAATAATCTTGTTTAATCCTTATTATATTGGGCATGTATGGTAATGCATCCAGCTTACCAGTGTCCCAACTGCTCGAGGTCGATTCCTACGAATGTCTTTTACAGCCTGAAAGACGTCAACAATCTGTTCTTGTTTCACTCGTTCGATGATTGAGTATATGGCACAAAATGTACCACTTCGACCAACACCATTACTAGAACAAACAAGAAGCGCATTTACATGAAGCAAACACGAAGTTATGTGATTTAAGCATTGTGTGTTTTTGAGAATTAATAATATTCATTGAAATATCGCCACCATCTTTCCTCCTAGAAGACACTGACGCCAGCCCTTCAAACTTTGATACCTCGATGACTAGTGCAAGACAATATGTTTACTTTAACTCCATCTTTCCTTTAGTTAAATATAATTTAATTCATCAATTCATTATTTCTTCCGGCCCATTGTTTTATTGCATAGTAACTCCCAAAAAACCACCAACCTGCATTGTGCTACTATTGGTGAATGACTGGANGCCAATTTGTTTGTTGACGTCAAGATAGTGCACTGAGGCACAACCAAAACTTGTCAATGAAAAAAATTGTTCTTCGTTTACACTAGCAAAGAAACATTGTCAAGGAAGAATTGTCGAGGAAAACGTATTGACAATTCACACGGGCAATTTTTCCTTGTCAAGAAACTTGTCAAAATTGCTCGTGTAAACGGCGCTTTAGAGTAATTCACATATAATTCATACATATGATTCAGTTTGATGGTAAAAAGGACGAAATTTGAAGTATCGGCTACCCTTTATAATTTTATAGCCTCCTTTGCAGACGTTATTAGTAACGGTCATAACTTAGTGGAGAGGGAATTTATGACCGATACTAATAACGTCTGCAAAGGAGGCTACCCTTTATATTGATATATTTATATATGTTAGCTACCAGAATTTCAAATGCTTGTATCCAAAATGATTAATTGAAATTTTACGAAGAAAAAACAAATTGTGAAAAAATATTGACTTCGTACGACCAAGATGTAAACGATGGCACCAATCATTAATAGTCGAAATATCAAGTCTCAAGAGTGTTTTTGATTGCATTTCCCTGCACTTTTGACTACTGGATAAAATATGTGCCCGTTTCCTTCCATCTATCATCTACCGCCATTAAGCCATCATTGATGTTGAAGACAAGTTATTGCCAAATGCTTTGTGAGACTACCGTTTGGAACCTTTCAAACAACAATTAACTATGAAACAACCTAAACAAAATTAGAAGAATCTTCATGATTCTCTGTAGTAACACCCGAAAAAATAAAACGAAAAAGAAGAAGAAATGGGTGCGCTTTCCACCACCTCCAAAATAAGTGGTGGATGGACCGCAGCACGATTCCTCACGAAAAAGGGAATTTGGCTTTTATTTTGAAAAAGTAGAAGGTGCTACAAAAACATGAAAAGGCTAGCATTAATCACCATTTTTAACTCGAAGATTGCGAAGCAATCGAAGAGTTATTTTTGAAAGTTCCTTGTCCGCGTCTTCCAAAGACAGAATGTACTAACATAAGGAGGTAATGTTCCCTGATCATCAATGCAGTATTTGTGTTAACAGACCTTTACTGGTGGTCACATGCACTGGTTGGTGGAGAATTCACTAAACTTGAAGTTATAACGGCTTGCATAGTTTAACTTGTAGGGATCCGGGCAAACCCTCCACTATAGGAAATCCAGCAGCACGTCTGCAACTATATTAAGTTCAATCCGATGTAGATGCTTTTGCATAGAGGTTTTAGTGACTTTTTTACAAGGCGCAGGGGGCGACCGCGCAGTCGTAGGACAAACTACAAACCATTCCCCATTCTTACAAGTAACAGAGTGAATTTTTAAGAGGTATAAAAGACCTAAGACGCGAGATCCTCCTTTATCATGGTGACGGGACATTGTGTAAGACGGTAAGTAATTCTGATTCATGATTCTGATGAATTTTGACAAACTCCAGGGATTTCTTAAAATGGGTTCGAACAATATTTGGTAAAGACAATTGACTTTTGAGGCAAAAATACAGCTTGCTGATTAGTAAGTTGGGTAAAAACTGAAGAGTCATCACCATTTGTCTCGATATACATGTACTTTCCATTAAGGCTTGGGGTTTCTTTTCGAATTCCGTGCCTTGCATTTGAATGCAAGAGGTAATTCATTTAATGTTGGTCGGGGCTTCTTATGGTATTAGAATCCATTCCTCAATTTGAAGGAAAATGCTTTATTATCACTTATTTGTTCTTACTGGATCTAGTTATAAAAAATACTAAAAATTTTAAATGCTAAATATTATGTTTTGCTTTTTACCAAACTACTAACAATGTGTTTATTTTGTGAAGTTTGCATAGTCGCTGAACGAGTCAAGGTAATCTTGAATGATTTTGTAACAGTAGACGTACTGGCCCTGTCAAAGAAAAAGAAGGAAAATAATTGTTCGTATGAACACCATGTTTTTTATTGGTCAAGAAGGGAGGGGCAAAAAGAGCCATGAGATTAGCTAGTACCAAGTCAGTTCGTTTCAAAATCTTTATCTGTTGGCATTGAAATAATGTCACAAGCCATCGATTGCTACCTCATCTCAAGTTAAATGCGAGTTACATTGAGTAGAGAGCCGGTTTGCATGTTCTACTTCATAAGCCGAACGAGCTAGTCTCAATAATATTGTTTAATCCTTATTATATTGGCCAAGTATTCTAATGCATCCAGCTTACCAGTGTAACAACTGCTCGAGGTCGATTCCTACGAATGTCTTTAACAGCCTGAAAGACGTCAACAATCTGTTCTTGCTTCACTCGTTCGATGATCGAGTATATAGCGCAAAATGTACCACTTCGACCAACACCGTTACTAGAACAAACAAGAAGCACATTTACATGAAGCAAACACGAAATTATGTGTTTTGAGCATTGCATGCTTTAGAGAATTAATGATATTTATGGAAATAACGTCGCGAACCGTCGTCCTCCTAGAAGACTGACGTCGGCTCTTCAAACTTTGATGTCTCTAGGACTAGTGAGTGACAATATGTTTCCTTTAACTCCCTCTTTCCTTTAGTTTAATATAATTTAATTCATGAATTCATTATTTTCTTCCATTGTTTGGAAGTAACTTCCACTAAACCACCAACCTGCATTGGACTACTATTGGTGAATGACTGGACTGCGCATGTCTTTGTGATTGCTGTACTTCATTCAGTAAATCCAACACACTTTGTGAATTCGTAGGGCAACACTTATCCTTCCAGTTGGGCATTTGTATGTGCTGAACCTGAACAGTTGTCTGAAAATAGGAAACAATTCATGAATATTGTCAAAAACTCAAGGCGGCCTTGTAAAATTATCCAATGCTTGTCTGGGCTGCAATTTGCTGTTTGGGCATTCCAGATGACACATTTCACGTATTAAAAACAAAATGCATAGCAAGTCTGACCGACATCATCGAATTAAAGAAGTCTCCTACCGAGTTGTAAGTAACGCTAAGATGATGAGAAACCAGTTCACCGATTTTCGTTGTGTCCCGCAGGTCAACAGTCACGTTACCGTAGGATAAAGTTCCACTTAAAGGCCAGTATTGGATGAAACGCTGTAAAAAAATATTATGATAATATGTGAAAAAATCAGTAAAGCCTCTTTAACTTCCATTCCATCAAGKTGTACGACCATCCAACAAGCTGCCAGCCAGGCAGCTTGCAAGACACTTAAAGTAATTTGTTTGTTATTTGTTTATGAACGGAATAAGTAGAGGAGAAGGGTCTTAAATTTCTGTGATGGACAAATAATGATAATTTCTGTCATTTCTGTGATGGATATTAGCTTGGCTCGCGACCCTTGAGAAGCAGAGCAATACCTTGTTTTCCTCTTGCAAATTGTTTAGCATAACCACTGTTTTGACGTCATAGCTCACTACCATGATCCAGAAATCCTCAATGGTCTTTWTTAGTGGAGCTTGCGTGACAATGAATGCGTTACGCTCCTTGTAGGCCTGGAATTATCAAGTATTGACGTGATGATAATATTTGTTTTTCTTCAATTCTGACCTTTGATTTAAAACGAAATAAGTGACAACCGATCGATGTCAAATCTATACTCAAAAAACTAAAACACATCATTTAGTAACTTACATCAACATGTGAAGCATTTATGTAGCTTGTTGTCACATCCTCTCCGGGTTTTTTAAGCAAAACTCGGCTACGGTTTACTATAGGATACAAAAAAGAGAATCATGAATAATGTCGCAAGAACAAATACTAAAAAGTGCACACAGATGGAGCAATTTAAAGTAGAGAACCTAAGAGGCGCAGATGAGAAGTATAATAAGTCACATACTTTGAAAAGGTAAGGCAATGACAGAAAATAGATGATTGGCTTGACAAGTGCCCAATGATGCAAAGACGTAGACGTAGGCCAAAAACTGAACCTTGCCGTGGTCCGTTGGAAGAGAAAGCCGAAAGGAAGGATATTGGAAATCTTACTAGGAAGAAGCAAGGACTGCTGCAACGAACCGAGAGAGATGGAAATGGGGCAACTTAGGGTCTATGCACCAGAGATATGCAAGTAGACCTGAACTGAACAGTAACTGTGATGATGCGAACCTGTTCATCTATCCATCTTCTGCATCATTACTCATAATATTGCGTGGGAGATTCAATGCGGACAAGACGTTATTTACGAGTATATTGAATACTTTACTTACAGGCGATATTTTCTTTGTCTCGGTTCTTTTTTATATTTGTTGGCGACCTACCAACATCACACTCTTCTTTTTCGTAATCTTCAGTAACTCGGTTAAGTCTCTGCAACGAAAAATATACGTTCAGTGTGAAA